GATGTTGCGGTGTGCCTCATACTCTTCTTGGCAAGAACAATAATCAATAATATGTTTGATTGCCATATCACAGTATTCATTAAGCTCCAGACATGTGGAAAAAATTTAAATAAAATCATATTACTTATTTGCAAATTAAAAAGGTGGGTCAGGAACCATAACCAGCTGCAGCAATGCTTAAAGGAAGATCCAAGTAGAATGATCCCTGCAGAAAGACTGGTGGTAATGAAATCCTTGATTTTTCATACAGAAGCAGTGAGTGTGGAGGAGGATGCTATATATGTAAGGAATGCACCATTTTAAAGACTGTGTGATTAATCCTGTTAGAGGATGTGTTTCTAACAGAGAAGCAGATCGGTGGGATAATGCTGTAAGAAAGTATGAGAGCCAAACATAAGCATCTAATCTCAGAGAAAGTCTCCTATGACAGTACAGTGTAATTCTGTTTAAAATTATGTATACTTCAGTGCAAATAACCAGATAATAATTTCAGAATCTGCAAAAAATTAATGTCCCCTCTGTAAATGCCAGTGGGGAAGATGTGCAGCATAAATTAAGGAGTAAGGGAAGTAGAAACTCTCAGTCTTGTCTGTGTTCAGATATTTTTTTCCCATCCAATCTGGATTTAGTCCTAAGTGCGGATAGGATAAGGGGTATGTGGTGGTCATTAAGTCTCCTGGGTGTGCTTTATGCAAGAGAAGAAAATACCAACGAGTCAGGTAGGTAACAGCATGTTCCAAAATCCTGACAGTCTGGGCAGCCGCCTCCCCAGCCTGCTTACCTGGCAAACCTCTACTCAGGAGCTGGGCTGAGCGTGCCACGAATCTTGTTGTCCCTGTAGTCACATCTGTGGTGTAATAGTAATGAGATTGGAGTAATCTCACTGATGTGGGCCGAGTTGGACTGATAATTTAAATGTGAAAGGCTTCATAATCTCCTGCTGATCCCAGAAAGTTGTCAGCATTTAATTAAGGTCAGAATTAGATGACAACAAAACCTTCTACATTTACCTCCTTGCCTATAAATGTTAAACCATGACAGATGAGTTCTTCTGAAATTCCTGGAGTGATGATGGCACTTTTGTAAACGCCTTATAGCTTGGTATAATACTTAGAGCAGTAACAACCATCTCTAAAAGAAACAATGAGAAGGTTTGTTCTCATTTTCCTCTCCTCTTTCTTGCCCCATACCTCAGTTTCATCAGTTCAAATTGATGTTTTCTGCAGACATGGCCACTGCAAAGGTGGCTCTGTGTGACTCCCTCTAACAGTTCAGTAGCTCTTAGTTTTTTGCTTTAGATTAGAAATTTGAAATCCCAGTGAGGACTAAAGAGGTGAAAGCAGCTGGTGGGGGCTGTGTACACTCATGTCTGTTTTGTGTGGGTGTCGGGGTTGCTTCTGCTTCTGTGTGCAGGAGGGAGAAGGATGAGTGTGAACTGAGAAGTGGCACAGCTGGTGCCCAAAGCAGGTTGAAACTGCACCACAGACGGAGAGGAGGTCTGTGGGGAGAGGAAGGAGACAAAGCAGCTGCAAGGGAGTTCCTGGAGCAGGGTGCACTTTGCTGGGAGAGAAATCACCAGCGGAGGAAAGCTGAGCAGCAGGAAAGTATGAGAGGAGCCTGGGAGAACAGGAGAGCAGCAGAAGGTTGCCAGAGCCAATAAATCTGGTGAGCCTTCTCCTCCCACTGTTCGTTGTTTGAAGAGCTTGCCAGCAGGTGAACCTGTGGGCATTGGGCACCAGCCACTCAGGGCAGCATTACAGGGTGCACAGGCGTTGGTCCTGCTGTGACAGGCTGGAAAGGAGTTCAGCTCCTAGTGTGCTCCCTTATCTTCTCCCTAGCGTTAAAGAAACCAGTGAGAAACCATACAGAAGAGAGGAGGGTATGGCTGATGCGCAGCTGTGGGTGCTTTGTAGTTGACCATTTGCTTTTAAAATTTTTAAATCAGTTGTTGGGGTGAGCAGAATTGAAAAGTGTGGCCAGTACTGTGTTTAGAATAACATCTTGAATGAGATTTTTGTGACTCAGTTCAGTAGAAACATTATTGCAGGACCTTGTAGGACTAGAGGTGCAGCTTGGCACTATGAAAAGCTATTTGAGGTTCTTGAGAGACTGCCTCAGAAAACAATGATCTGGTCAATAAGCAAAAAACTGAGGCATACTGACAGTCATCCAGAAGAGCTACTGGTGGGACTTCTGTCTTCCTTCCCTGAAGACCAGCTGAATAAATCCAGTAGATAACTGAGAGGTTTTGATTAACTCTTTTCTTCTTATTCTCCTGCTGAACATCTTGAATGTGGCTGTAACGCATTACACAAGTGTCACCTGTGCAGGTTACTCAGATGAGCAGTAGTGTGGTGTGAGCAATGGGTGTTTCCTCAGACAAAGAAAGGTGGCATATCTTTCAGAGTAGATGTTTGTTTTTGACTTTGTGGTGGCTATACATCATCCAGTGTTTTCCCCTTCGTATTGTGATATATCATCTTGTGTTTCATGCTTGAGATGTGAGAGAAGTGAGTGATGTTATGTAACATAAGCAGAGAATTATCTTCTTATGGTCTGAAAGTGACTGTTGGTTTGATAAAGGAGTTGACTAATTAGTAAATTACCCATTGTTGTTTAAAATACTTGCGCTGCAAAATGTAAATGAAAAAAATTTCTCCACTTGTCAGTATGAAAAATGACAATAGCAAAAATAATACATAGGACATCTGCTCTGATTTTTTTAAATTTAAAATGCATTTAAGGCAGATGTTGCAGAATTTGAATGAAAATCAAAGTAGATGGAAGAACAAAACAGAGCTGTTTACCTTTCATGAAGTCCCATTTTCATGGCTAACATCGCTATCAGTATGTGACTCAGTGTCTGTATTTTTCCGCTGTTTGTATCAGACTGAACTGAGTGTTCTTAAAACTGCTGTTGTCAGGATGACATATAGTTCCAATATTAACAGAAATTATTGGTGTGTCAGTATTTTGGGGTGTTTCCTGATGTGTTGTTTCTCTTTGCCCATCCTCTCTTTCCAGGAGAATACATCAAGACATGGAGGCCGCGGTATTTTCTGTTGAAGAATGATGGCACTTTCATTGGCTACAAGGAACGGCCACAGGATGTTGACCAGCGGGAATCACCTTTAAATAACTTCTCAGTAGCTCGTAAGTGTTTGTAGCTGCTCCCTTGTCCAGTTGGGGGGTTGTTGTCTTCTTGTAACATAGCTGGTAAGCTGCATCAGTAACATTCAGATCTGCCCAGAGCGGTGTATTTAAACACTAAGTGTGTTTATTTGAGCTGATAAATCCCACAGTGTTTCTCAGGAATGATTGTAATGTGGAAGTTTGATTCTCTGCTTGTTTTTCTTTTTTTAAAGTTTTCTAGTAATTTACTGTTTCTGGTTATTGAATAAAATAGGTTTATTTGTTAATATTTTGTATGTATGTTAGTCAGCAAATTGCTTTAAAGTGGAAATTCACCCAGGTGCATGTACTTGGCAGGTAGGTACAGCAGAAGCATTTCTGACACCAGATCTGGATTTCAGTGGTGTTGACATAGGTCAGAGTTACTTAATTGTTAGCATAAGAGAATGCAGAGTGAGCACGTGTTTTAATGAAGCTCACTTGGATTTTCTTAATTTTGAACACAAACCCGTAGTTCTTCTATCAAAGCCAATAAAAGGGTTTGGAAATAATAACATCTTCTAACCTCTGCACTCTCTACTATGCAAACATTTCTGACTTTGCTCAGGTGCTGCAGCACAGGATGTGATAGAAGACTCTGAAGATAATTTCCTTTTCTTGCTGATGTTTTTAACCTTTTGCTGTATACTTCCAGCTTTTATTTTCTCCTGTTCTTAATCTTTCCTGTCTCATGATCTGCCTGTGTCTCATTCCACCACTTAAAAATAGATCATTGTGGCACCTGTTACTAACAATGATCTGTTTCATGTTCCTGGTGACTACTGGAAGCAAAGCTCTGCAGAGGGAAAGGTAGGGGCTTTCCCTCTTCATTACAAGGTAGCTCAAAATACAGGGAGTTCATCTTCGTAGTTGATCATTAAGCAGGTATTTATTTTGAAAACCCTGCTCCTGGAAGAGGGCTGGGCAGCAGTAGGAATTAATGGAATTGTTCATTATTTTTCCTCCAGTAGCAGCATATACCTGTTCTAAGCGATGATGGGAATAAATAATGGACAAGCTGTTGCTTGGTGCCTCTGTGCAGGATTCCAAGAGTGCTTTGAGGCTTTTTGTGTCGTTTGAGAGGCAAAATTGTCGTAGTGTTTTCATTGCAGTAATGACACGATACTTTCCTCTTTAGACTGGTATCTTCTTACAGATCAAGAAGGTAAAGCAAAGCAGCAGAAAGCCATTAATTCATGAATTAATTCAGTAGTTGGTCTATAGCCAGAGGCTTTTAACAAATGCGCTTTTTGGAGGACACTTCCATCCTCTTGCTGCTAACTGCATTACTTGAGCAGCTCAGTGCTAAGGAGTAAAAATGTGTTCATCGCCTTTTCTTTGTCCAAGTTGCCTTTAAAATGGGTTAACTTAAATCAGTTTTCATAACAGGAATATGGTGCTTTTTTGGCAGATCGAGCCCATCAGTCTCAGCTTTTATAGATAAACAGGTTTGTTACCATGGCATCGGAGCATTGTTGGAGAAGACACAGCACATGCCTATAGATGAGTTGTAGTCCCTGTAAGAGGCATTGTGGGCTGGGTAGTGGGTGGGAGGATGTTCCTAGCAGTGGCTCTTGCCTGGTGACAGGTCAGGAGGAAGGTCTTGAAGATAGATGTGGGGCCTCCTTGCTAGAAGTCATTATTGTGGATTTGGGCCCACAGAAGGAGCTGTTTCCCCACTAGGATTTAATTTCTCATGTAAGCAGTAGCACATAGTGCTGCCAGCACTTCTGTCCCTTCTGAGTGCCCTCTACACTTTCACAGATTGACAGAATATTCTGAGTTGGACGAGCCCCACAAGGATCATCGAGTCCAGTTCTTCAAGTAAATGGCCCATATGGGGATTGAACCCACAAACTTGGTGTTATTAGCACCAGACTCTAATCAACTGAGCTCTTCTCAGGGATCACTGTTTGGATGTATTTTGCAGCACAGGCTTTTCCTTTGAACCTGCTTGCCTGCTTCTTTCATTTAGGTTAACATGTCGCGTTTATGTGAATGAATTTGAGCTGTCTCTGGAGGAAGGCTCAGGCCAGAGCACAGGCCTGTAGAAGCCTCCTGCCAGTGAAAGGTGGGGGGAATTTAGATTAAATATTTTGTAAAAATTAATCCTTCTATTTTCTTTTCCTCCAAGACACCATGATAGCCCTGACTTTTTTTTGTTAATTAGTGCACCAGATTTTTTTTTTAATGAGATGGCAGGCTGTCTCTGTCAGTCTGTTCTTTGGAAGTGGTCCCATGTTTCTGATTAAAATCTTTACCCTCTTCTGCTGTACAAAAATGTAGACTTTTTTATCTTTGCAAGTAAAAGGAGGTGTTTTTTAAAAGGGGAATTTTATTACTTGTAGTGTAAAATTCATATGAGTGATTTTGTCAGCACATGAGAAGTGGGAAATAATTCATGAGAAAGCTATCATAGAAGATAACTAATGATCACCTATCTTTTCCTTTAACAGGTATGAAGAAAGTATTAGCAATAAATAGTGTGTGATTTCCATGTGCTTGACAGTCTCTTTTTTTTCCTACACTAGCCTTTTCCTTTTGGTCTGTGAGGGTTTTGATCATACATTTTTGAAAACTTGTTTCTAAGCCCTTCTGGCTAAAGAGAGGCTTACTATTTATTTTAAACAACTTTTTCTCCATCTAATTTTCCTTTTAAAATAGCTATATACCAGTGTTTGCTGTGTTTAAGGAGTTTATTTTCTCTGGAATTAACCTATTGATGATTTATTTAAAAAAAGAAACAACAGTAACCAAACAAAAAACAAATAAAAAACAACCCAAAGTAACACTCATGAAACATGGTGCCTGAGTGTTTAACTGAGATTTTTGAATCTTGTGTTTGTGTTCTCTACTTTACTGCTAATAGGGTAGAAGGAATAAAAAAACTCTGTACCTAAAAGTTCTGCTCCACAGCTCCTGCAGATGAATAACCAATAGAGCCTGAGTTGTAAATCTGTGAGATAAGTAGCCTTCATACTGATTGTAATCTGGGATTATCATGCATGTCTCCCTATTAGGTTATAAGCCTTTAAAACCATATAGCTGAGAGAAGCAGTATATTGTGAAAAACCACATGGAGAGAGAGGCTGCTCCTGTTAGAAAGGGATTATTTCTCCCGGCTGTCAAAAAGGAAGATGGACTGTGGTGGTTTTATTGTACTGCTGAAAACATAATTGCTCAACAATACGAGAGCTCCTTTTGGGACAGGACTGTGTGTCTGCAGTCAAGCATTTTTCAGAGGGCACAGGCTGGCCAGATTAGTGGTTGGTTTTTTTGTCTGCTGTTACTAAGAGCCACCTTTGTGCAGGTCTGTAACTTGGTATCCTGGCCCCTCACTTTTGCCATGCTGAACAGTTCAGAGTTGAATCTATCCAGTGATGCTAGCAGAAAACGAACACTTCAACATAATATTCCTGTTTGTCTTCAAAAAGTTTTATTTCTTCATCATTCTGTTTTCCTTATTTGCCTTTTTCCTTTTTTTTCCGTTTTCTTCTTTGTTTCTCCATACCCTTCCTTAAAGAAACCAAAGCAGGAATAGGAAGGCTTCTTCCTTGACATTATTGTTTTAAGTGTGATGTCATTATATAGGGAGCAGAGTTTGACACTTTCATCGAAAGTAATCTGCCTTTTAGCTTAAGTGCTGGGAAAGCAAATATTATGACATTTTAGAAAGTCACTGGGATAATACTAAGTGTCTTTCAAATACAAAATGGTAATTTACATTTGAATGCCTTGGTGTCTATTCCTGTTAGGAACAATTTCTCTGTCCTACTTACTTTAAAAGACCAAACGCCAGGAAAGAATCAAAGGTTCTTTAGAGAAATTTAAATAATTTTTAACAGGCTGCTGTTTATAGTACTTACTCTGTTGCAAATGGGGAATACTTACATGTGCCTGTTTCACAGGAAAAACTTTCTTCAAAGTGGGTAGAGACCCTCGTCCCCTATTTGAAATGGAATGTTTTATAGCAGAATCACCAAACATGCCATAAATCAGACCTAATACTACACAACATCTGTCTGTGCTCTGCTGGAGTGGTGCACGTTGCAGTATTATATTGATGAATAGAGAAGGTAGATTTGGTGCTTCTCTAACTTCAACTACAGTGAAGAGCACACAATTGGGTTTAAAAGAAATAAAATACTTTTCATTCGTTTCATTGATGAAATCCATGTGATTATCATATATGGTGAGAAATAAGAGATAGTTTCAAACTTTGTAGAACCTATGTGGTACAGCACTTTGGTAAAGCAATTTAAAAGTAAAGCCTTCTGTATTTCTTGATATGTGCTGTTATGATTGAGCAGCGTAATTAGACAGCATATTGTTCACTAAACAAAACAATTCTGGGTGACATTCTTGAATTATAGTGGTTATTAACTGACAAATCTCTATTATTCATCTTGCTGTATGCCTTAAAGATTGCTGGATCAGCAAGCTTAACAAATATCAGTGGACAGTGCTGATTTAGGGGAAGAGTGACATGTAATTGGTCCCCATCTATGACATAAAAAAACCTTGTGTGGTTTATCATGCTGAAATCAAATGGTTAAATCTAGTGTTCATGGCTAGTTTAAATATCTATGCAACTACTTAAGAATATGAATCTAAAGTGTTTTTAAAATCTAAGCAAAACCTCTCTGTTTATTTCTTTATAATGTTGTACTTCGGGATAAGTATGGGAGAACAGCTCTGGATTAGCACAAGGTTAGGAAATAGCCTGATGTTTTTCTTCGAGTCTTCAGCCAGATTCAGTGTCTTAGGGCTGCATTGTGCAGGCTCCTAGGGGACAACCCCAGCCTTAATCTAATCACATTAAGCAGATAGAAATGGGAGGCAGAACAAACAAACAACAAAAAACGAAGGGCAGCTAAAGGGAGGTGGGAGGTCTGGGAGCAGGAGCAGAATTTATCAGCACCAGGCTCACGGGGCTGTGCCAGCCTGGGCAGTTGTGTTTGGCTCTTGTTGCCATTCTGTGAGAGGACGGAGGTGGCTGGAAGGCCAAATCCAGCACAGCTGCATCGCTGTGTGGAAGTTGTTTAATCTGAATGAAGGAGTGCCGTTCACTGCGCTAAAGCCTTTGCGTGACTCATTAATAAACTTTCTCTTATCTAATTGGAGTGCTTTAGTAGGATGCAGTGTAACCTCAGCGTGCTAGTAAAGAAAAATTATATTTTCTTGTCATGTAAAATGCAGAGTTACTAATTGAAAAGCTTATAATTCCAGCAGCAAATGAGGCATGAAATATATTGCCAAAAATACAGCGCCCAAAACCACTGGCAGTAAATATTTTATCTTGGTGCTAATTAAGAGCTTGAACTTAAAACTGAGCATTCTAAATTTACACAATAATGAAATTAACCTAATGTTACCAGTGTAGCCTTAGTAATGCATACTGTTGTTCTCGTGGATTCTGTCCTCCACTTGCACGTTGCTGATGGTGGAGGAAGTTGATAGCTCTAGCAGTAAAGAGAAATTTCTTCCTTTCTTCATAGTGCCTTTTTATTTATTTAGAAGTCGATTTAGAAACTGGAGGCCAAATAACAGCAAGCTTGTGGTTTCATTAACTGCAAGGAAAATAGTTAAATGCAAGAAAAAAACTCCCACAATTATATTTTCCCCCCTACTCACTTAGTTTCTTAATTTGACTTTCCTCTAGCAGGATCTGTTTAATTAATTAGCTTTTCTATTAATGTTCTTCTAAAAAATATGATGGTTTGGCTCCTGTTGTTATTTCAATGATTTTCTTTTGTTTTTCAGATCTCTGGTAGTAGAGCTAAAGTGTACCCTTTATCAGGAGCATTTTCTGGCCTAAATAAAGGATAAACACTTGTAACATCCTAAGAAGCTTAAAGTAGTAGATGTGATTTAAAAATTAAAAAAAATTACACTCAGCTCTCAACAGAACATTTTGATGAAGGAAGTGGTGGCTGTACTTCTGTAGCCTTTTTAGGCTGTGCTCAAACCCTGGCAGTGATGGAAGCTGCTCGCTGCGTGTCCGTGCAGCATCCGACTGTGGCAGCTCTCCCGAAGGCCTTTGGAACGGGGTCTTCTCAGGGGGTGCCTTTGCAGTTTGATGTTCCCTCTAGTGTTTGAGGACTGGAAATGCTGAGTCTGATCTTCATCAGGTCGCTGCAAAATGATCAGATGTTCTCATGCATCTCCCTGGAACCCATGGAGGAGTTTTATGTGGGAAAGTCAATAGGAGGGAAGGTGGGGGCTTGACTTTAGTTTCAGTATATGTAATTGGTGCATTATCAAATGACCTTGGCCATGTGCTGTGCTCTGGATGACCTTTAGAGAATGGGACCTGAGTCTGAATGGCTTCTGTGTTATCACATCACATTTCTTCTTACCTCTATGGGCAGACCAAATGTGGATCCTTTCAAAGCAAAATTTGATTTCAGAGCTGCTTAGATGGCTATCTCCCAAGCTATTTATTGGTTTCATCAACACAGTAAATTGTCTCAAGTCTCCTAAAGAAGTACTTACAGAGATTTCTATGGCTGATTAATTGCAACAGTTTGCCAGATAAGAATAAAGACAAATGATTATTTAAACCTGCTTATGTACCATGACTCTTTCTTCCTTGATTGTGGTAGAGTGCCAGCTGATGAAGACAGAGCGACCTAAACCAAACACATTTATCATTAGATGCCTCCAGTGGACCACAGTAATTGAAAGAACATTTCATGTGGAGACTCCAGAGGAGCGGTATGTTTCATTCATATTTAATGCATAAACTCCTTGCAAAAGCAGATGCAAGTGTTCAGCATTAATAGTGAGTCCTCTGCCGAAGCTCTTATTTATCAGATGATGTACGTCTGGACTGAAAAGTGACAAATAATTTTTGAGTGCCTCAGTTTTAGTGCATTTTCCAGTATAAAAGCAACCCTAAAGGCAGG